TGGGGCAGAAGGCCACTCTGCAACAGATCATTCCAATCTTCCAAGGTGCCCCCTTTCTTGAAAAACCTCAACTGTTGATTTTCCATTCTCTCTTTCTCTCAGGTTCTCCAGGCTCCTGCCTAGGAGGGATAGGGTCGTCAGGATCCCCTCCCAAGGAGAGAGATGGGGCTCCTTGTAACCTGAACAAGTGGCCTTCTCACACCCCCTTACGGTGGCCCCTGGAACCCCTCACTCCCACGCACGGGGGAGCCTAGGGCTTCCAGAGGCCAAGCTTGGCCACCACTCGCCCCCCTCACTCCACGAGGAGTTCTGAGGGCAAGTGATGGTCCCACACAACCCAAAGTTCAGCCACCTGACCTCTTCCCACCTCCCCGAGGACGAGGTCTGGTGGGAGAGGTCAGGTAGCTCCGACTTTGAAAAGCTACCGGTGGGACACACAACTCATGCATGTTTTAGTTTGGGGAGAGCACATATATTTGTCAGCCTTGGGGATGACAGGGACAAAAACTGCAGTGATATCAGTCATCGGCCATCAGCAAGCAAGGAAGGTCTGTTGGTCTGCCAAAAAAAGAAAACATGACGTGTATATACATATATAATGTACAAATACATATATCATTGTGTATATCATTATATGGTCGATTGCAGTAGTTAGGATTCAAGGTGATGGTTAACCCCGACCAAATTCGTTCACCAAATTTTGGCAAGCTTGTTGGAGCATCTCTGCGATGATGCACTTTGCCAGGCTGAAACAAGCAATCCCCTGGAGTCGTCTTCGCTGAAAACCCGTGGAGGCTGCGGTCGAAGCGGCTTTCTCTTTTCGACTTCTTGTTCTTTGCAGACTTCTGCATCATACTCGATGTCGGTACATTTGGCCTTGAGCATCTGACAATGCTCTTCTTGCTCCTGACACAACACCACAAAAACATCAGAAGACTCTTGGTCCACACCACCCGAAGCTGAACATTCCTGGCAAAACACATGATGGTCTTTCGCAACCCGGAAATTAGGAACCCTATGCATTCTCTCATGTCGCATTCGCTTGTTTTCGGGTATGGTCTCATTTTCGCACATGTCCACAGTGTCCATCGCGAGCTTGCTGGGCCATATCACCACCGTCCTGCAACCGCAAAATGTCGCCATTGTCCTCCATCTTGTGCAAATGCTGTTCCACCTCCCAGGGCTGAGCGGCCGTGAAAACGAAGGCGCTGGTGGTTGCAGGCGCTGGTGGTTGCAGGCCCTGCGCCCCAGAAAATACATAAGAATCAGAGAGCACCCGCAAACTAGCGATTTTACTGCTAATAGACTAAATTCGCACAACCTTAAGGCTGTGTATGAGAACAGTACCAGGTGACACGGGGTGTTGTCCATCAACCACATGCAAAAGCTTCTATTTGGGTTTTGCTGATATGACAAAATACTTTCGTTGCAGTCTGGAAAGCAGTCGGAAAAGTGGTGGTGGTGTGGGTGTTACACCCAGTCATTGCGGAACTTTCACTTGGATGTCTCACTTCCAGACAACATAGCCATAAGGGCTCGAAAACCAACATGAGAGTCTGCCACGTCTGCTGGATAGCGAAGAGGGCATGAACAAGAAGGCAGTCACCTTAAAGAGGTGCCTATCGCTTTCTGGGGTCAGCCACAGCAGTCGGGACACAGCTGAACATGTCAAAACTGTAATCGACATGGTGCCTGCTCTCGACAGGCACCAGCGTGGCTTTTCCAGGTTTACAAAATGGGTTATCACATGTCATCACTGGTTTGGGGATACACAAGACGAACCTGGAAGACCATTTCAACTGATCGAAATCTGTTTGGGCACTGTTTCGAATATCTTGAGCACCCTCTGGGGCATGTTTCTACAGGAATCGCCCACTCACCATGGCCACACCTCTTCGGGAATGCCAAACCATCGATGCGTTTTCAACCAATCTGGCAGCCACTTGCACATCTCAAACAGCGTCCTCAGCGACAGCAGCGAATTCTATGTAGATCAACATATGTAATCATATATATATATATCATTATATCATATCGTATATATAACATTCTTGGGAGCCTTCGCTCACAAAACCACGCCTGTAGAGTTCCGGCATGAAATCTTTTCTGTAGTTTTATATATAGCAGAAGGGACTGGTCATCTTGATCAGAGGGTCCAGGACAAATGTTTGGGGGAGTCTTCGTCTTTTTCATAGGCACACAAAGTCACAAAAGTGTCCTGTGATCTAGCATAACTGTTGAGATTTGGCATGAGTCAAGCTGACTCTGAAAAGGGCACGAGCAAGAGCCCCAAAAATGGCTTGGTTTTGGAATAAGTAGAGGAGCCCCGGAGCCCTTCAAACAACTTACCGGTGGGCTCCATGCTCAAAAAAGGCAAAAGCATGCAGTGAGAAGAACTACCAGTAGAGTCGGAAGCCTACAGCATATTATGGCATCTGGGAATTCCTTCACAGATTTGCCTTGGCTGTGAAAGTTGTGGCCCAAAAAAGATGCGTCTTAAGAGTCTTATAGTTTGTGGCAGTTCCTCTTGTCCAGTGTGACTTCTGATCTTTTGTGAGCTCCTTTGTTGGAAGATCTTCGGCGTATGATGGTTTGGGTTGATTTCCGACCAGGCTCCTACCAGCCGTTCGGATTGCGCCGCTACCTTTGCAAACTTCGCTAGTTGGCTAAAACCCCGCAACCTTAGTTTGTTTTTGGCGCTGAGCCAAGCCATGACCGGGTCAAGTCAGAAAAGGAACATCTGTGCAACACTTTCGCCTTGAAGTCTTAAAGTCGGACAATTTGAAAGAAGGCTTCTCGGTCTTCGCGTTTCCAGAAACCCTTCTTCTTAGCTAAAATGATGCGTTTAAACAAGGGTAAAATGGATTTCTGGGTGCCGCTCTTAAACTAAAGACAAGCCAAAGACTGAAGAAAGTCGAGAATGCCAGGTCTCTGAGTCTCTTCTTCCTGCTTCTTAATGCGCTCTTGAAGCAACGCATCATCTTCTTGAAGCCAATCCCATTCGTAATCGTTTGTTTCAGCCGCGTCCGCCCAGCACAGCCCATCCATGATTGTCTAGGCACTCTCTCTATGAGCAAGTCAAGCAAAAACAAGTTTGGCAAAATGATGAGACTAGCTGTTTGCAGCTGCTTTGATTTCCAGACTAGGTGAAGGCTTTGTAGATTTGTATATTATGATTATTTTTATATAGTGTTTGTTTGTATATGTGGACACTACATAGACCCTGACTCTATAAAGTGTTTCACAAAAGCGTCATAGCACAGCCTGACATACGCATCGATCGAGGTTTTGAGCAAACCGCTGCGCGTTTGCGATACGGTGTCGTCTTCGCTCTGGCTTAACCGGGAGTCGTCTGCAGGTCATGTCTGCAGGTCGACGAAGGCATCTGAATCAGGTGCATGTCCCACCACTTGTATTCAAGTCAAGTCAAACTCAATGGACATGAATGTACGACCTAGGGGGTTGCGGTTTTTTTTGGTTGAGCAAGTTGCGAGTCCGACAGAAAGAACTACATGCGGCCCTTCCAAACGATTGAGATGTTTGGTGCTCCGTCACCTCAACAAAGTGCATGTCGCGAATCTTCGCAAATGTTTTAAGACAAAAGGCAGTTGGGTAAGGTCTTCCCCTTCTCATGAGTTCCGATCTATCATTGCTATTTAGCTCATGGGTGATCTCGTGGGTACCTATCAATAGCCCCATTTTGTGGGGAAGAATCGTCATGACGAGGTACGAGTATAACCCAGGGGATGTGAACTACCAAAGCCTAATTTTGAGTCTTGAAGTGTGACTGCTCCAGATCTTCCTGCTGCAGACTCTGACGCCTCGTCGAAACTCAAGGCCTCTGGATTTGGTGCCAGACCTGACTGCAGGTCGAAACTCACGCTGCACAAAGAAATGTCAGGGTCAAACTAGTACCTCGAAGGCCATCGATAAACCAAAGAGTGTCCTAGACTTTTGATGACTTGGACACAAATGGCACTGCCAATCATATAGTTGAGCCAATCCATCACACCAACAAAGAAAGCTGAACCAGACATTCAGGGCATCTTCTGCTTGAATGGTTTGGGAAAGCGGACCATTGGCACACAGTTTGGAGCCGGAACCGGAACGTCACGGCGACAGGGATGCAATCAGGTTCTGGGGAGGAGTTCTCTGCGTTTTGTCAGTCAAAGGACACTCATCCACAAGAGCCCCTCTCTTTAGCGGACTCGATGGCTTATCCTAATGGCAAAGGCTAAGAAAATTGCAGCGACCAGTTTCATTCGGGACAAAACCAAGCCTACCAAGGTGCTGCACTCACTAGTAGCCATCCACAAAAGTGAAGTGGACTTGAAGGAACTGATTTCTCTACAGATTTGGAGGTGCTGATTGGAGTTTAAAGAGATTTGGATCTTGGACTTTGACATTTCAGGGTCTTTTATGTTCGCCTGCCAAAGCCATTGCCCGGACGGGGAAAAATACCTCGTCCCCACGCGGTTGATCGGGTTCCTGGCCTGACACCGAAGCGATCGCCGATGGCTCATGGCACATCCCAGGCCGGTGCGATGAGTGAAAGCGGGTGCTTCAAGAATGAGGGACACGCCAAGCAATGGAATTGATTTAGTCTGCCCGCTCTTTCCGCGTGCTTGTCCGTCAAGTTGGAAGGATCAGACCACCGAAAAACAATACGTTCAGGCGTGCGGCGTGCGCTCGACGTTCCACCGTTCGACCGTGCGCTCTATGAAACATCGATTTTGTCTTTGCCTCAAAGTGGATGAGTCTGGATCTTAGGCTATGGACTGTTCTTCCAGGGGTTCCAAACCTTCGAAAGGTGGTTGGAGATAGAACCCAAATCAAGAAATAAACAAACTTTTGATCAAGAGAGTATACAAAATGACTTCTCGCGAGACTCACACGTGTCCTCAGTTTCAGTTTGGTTGTCAACTTCTTGAAGGCCGTCTTCCTCTGTCTTTGAAGCGGCCCCACGAGTCAAGTCGTCAGTCAAATCAGCTCATCTCGTAGACCAAGCACTGGGCACCACAATTTTTGCAGGCAACGTGCTCGTGCAGCTTGCCCAGGTGCATCTACGAACTCAGATGAAGTGCTTCTTCTCGTAGTATTGCATCCTGACCAAAAGGAGAGGGGTCAGGAAGCAAGGCAAACACTTGATTAAAAGGAATACCAATTGCCAAGCGTTGTTTCTTGTCTGATTAATTTGTGTTGAATGGTTACTACAGTGTTGTGTTTAAATGGACTATCCAGCTCGCATACTGTTGGATGGCGTAGGCTTTAGGGCATCCCATAAAAAAGCAGGGGTCCCCAGTCTGCTCAGCACGTACCACACCTGGATCCCTCCATACAGAACAACTTTAGATTCTTGGCCGAATGCGAGAAGAACGGTAAACCACCCAGGGAGGAGTGGAACCTCCATCAAACTGCTGACATTTGCTGGGCCGACTGGTCCTACGCGGCCTCACAATAAATGCACAATGTTCAAGCCAAGACACCCTGCAAGGAAAGCAAAGAGCAAACGATCACAAGCTACAGCAGCTATGAATGACAAGCAACAGCTTGAAGCAGTGAAGAATAGTCACCCTTTTAATCAGGGAGTCTGCTCCTACGATGGTGTCCCACTTTCGCGGCCAGAAAGTCATCCTCCAGCACTCCGGCCTGTTAAACATCAGCACGCCCAGAACCACGATGACCACCAAAAGGATCAACAGCATCCAAGTCCTGCTTTGCTGTGTTCGTTGGGGGCAGGACATAAACGATTGTTGACGTCATAAAGGATTCTATTTAATTATATATTAATATGAAGGATATATATATATATAAATCACCCTGGGTTCGGATGACAAAGTGATTGAATCACCGAACCGAGCCAAGCGGAACAAACCCATAGAATGTGGGGTTGAGAAACTGTCGTGACAATCGAAGATCTCTTGTCTCATTGGGCACCTGGATCGGCGATCGGCGAGAGAAATCCATCACCGTGCGGCACCAGGATCCGTGGGAATCTCCACACGCGTTCTGAGCGCTGGGAGCGACCAAACCTGTCTTCCCTGCTTGAGAGAGTGGGAGCGACCTTCTTCAATAGGTTCTGAGGAAAAAGGACACTGACCGGGACCCACCTTTTCAGAGTGGCTTGGACACACGACTTGACACATGGCACTCCTAGGTGGGTGCTAAGTTGGGGCAACGTACGCACGACCGGAACTCACCGGAAGCTCCATGGGACGACCACGGTGGACTCGCCAAACGCGACGCGCGACGTGCGTCGCGCAGGTCTGGACGGCTTCGGCGGTCTCTGGGCTCTCCGACGTCTGCGAGGTGCTGGCTAAGACCTGGAGACCGAGGCGAAGCGAGACGAGACGAGGTTCGGAAAGGCGGGTCGTCTTCGGTCGCGTTGGTGTTTGCCGGATGGGAAAGTGGTTTGAGGCAAAGCCGAGTTGGGAATCTGAACATCTGGGTTTAAAGAAGATGAAACCCCAAACAGTGCCCTCGTTTCCCCACATCAAACTTTATACAAAGAAAAGAGAATCTGTCCCCAGAAGAAGTATACTGACTGACCGTACTGTAAGAATTCATGAATGCCCCTTAAACATCCTTAAACAGCACATCCTTTCTATCGACTTCTTTCTGTCTCTGCTGGGCCAAGTCTCTAGGAAACAACATCAATCCACCCAGGTCGCTCTAGGACCTGGGCACGGAGCTCAACTCCTCAACCATGCCTGCAAATTCTATTCCACCCACCATGTCAACTTCGATCACCCTGAAATTTTGGATGTCAGGAGTCTCAAGTAAAAACCTTCCAACAAGCCTCCTGGTGCATGGAACATCATGGAACCGTCTTGCACACCTGCGCGCAGCTTGGAGGAGCATTCAACATTCCCAGGCTCCACCACGACCGTCCGACCGGTGGATCTCCACAAGTGGTGGATCCCCACCTCTGCAGGGAGTTGGCCAAAGCACCTGGGGAGCCGAGCCGATTGCTCCAGGAGCCGCGTCTGGTCCACCAGCTTGCCGAGCATCGTGGAACCACCCACCTGGCACGGCGGAAAAAGCTGCGCAAGAGGTTTGGAAGAACATAGAAACCATCCGGAGATGCTCAACTTGTTTAAGCATGTTAACAGGAGGAAGAAGTAAAACGTGCATAGTTTTACAGTACATGATCCTCTCTAAAGCTTTAGGACTGTGGGGTTTTGTGTATGTATATATATATGATATATATGTGGATGTGTTCTTTGTTTATAGATGTGTTTTTTGGTTTGGGGGGCACAAAACGCCAAAGGTGGTTTACATGGATCCCCACATCTCATCTTCTCTGAACGTTTCTATGCTTTCAAGGATCGCTTGAGCAACTTCAAGTTTTTTGAGAATTACTGCGGCTGTGGGCCCCCTTGAAGCCGGTCGCTTGGATTCTACCGTGGTCGAGTCCAGTCCAAAAGCAGCGTGCCATTTGTTGTCGAGAGGGTGACGCGACCACCGTGACAATGACAGCTGGCACACCGTGAGAACAACGGCACCGCCTTGCTCGCTTGCTCCTTGACTTCATTCAAGTTCTTTTGCACCGCCTCAAACAGCTGGTGGGTTGCTGGTCAACCAGAGTTCTCTTGGATCAAAGACTCCAAAAGAGGAGACTTTGTCAAGAAGAGAACCGTGGCATGGTCCAAGCTAGAGATGCCAGGCTGCCTGGAATCCAAACATGGTTTAGGGGCATTTAGGGGTACTTTTTGGGATCATTACTTGCTTAGATCCATAGACGCTATGGCCCTAGACACGACGGCACTACCAAATGCAGGCAGGCAATGTCAAAAGGACTGATTTAGAGATGAACGTTGTCACAAAGATTGGAAGTTCTCAACCCTTTCTCGAAGAAGCATGGAAAGCAAAGTCCCTCTGCCAGGGAAATGCTATACTTCCACATGTGTTTAATAAACCTCTCTTGTATGAGCAGAACTGCATTAAACCTTCGGCAGGTTGGAATAAAGGGATTCTGAAAGCACTCTAATAGTGTAGAGCACAAGGAAAAAAAAAACGTCCACAAGGAAGCAGCTCCTCTGCAAGCCCATGGTTTGACCGTATGTCTTTCCTAAGGAAAGTTGGACAGGAGCGATCGGACGCTAGGAGCGGAACTCCTGGGCATCGCTACGAACGGAGCGACCGGACGCTACGAACGGAACCCGTGCGCCCGACATCAATCTTGGACAGGTGCACCTGCCCCTCCTGCAGGGAGCTGGCGATCAGGGCGCTGGCGCGTGCTAGGCTTGTCCAAGGGTGATCCATCCGGCAATCAATTTTGTAATCCCTGATGTTGAGCATGAAATGGTGAGGAATATGGGATACCATCTCATTCTCAGACTTTCGTGTTGGATCCACAAAAAACCTCCCTCCAAATTGGATGCGCCACTGGACCTCGCACGACCACTGGTCGTCGCATGACCAACTCTGGATCCGCCAATCCGAACAGCTCTGGCAAAGTTCACGTCGGCCCGTTTTCGACGCCAGATGGGTGTGTGTATTGAAATTTCAATCCCTAGAAGGAGGAACATAGACCACAAAACCCATTGCTGGAGGGTTTCCCTACTGAAACACGAACCCAGATCTCTCCTAACATGTCCAGTTCCGCCACATGTCTCCCACCGCACTCGGAACGGACAAAGGAGTGTATTTTGGAGGGTAGGGGTACCTACTATCCACCCATTCATGGCTAAAACCCATATGCCAAATGGTTCAAGCATAATGATAGTGGAGGACAGCGGACAGCATGGTCGGTGCTCCAGTCGCCAGTCAACACTTCAGGATTTCACATACGCAGGCTAAGACAGCACGAATCAATCATGTTTCTAAGTTTCTGAATTCTGAACTGTAATTACGACATGTCCCTTGAATCGCACCCCAAATAAATCAACATCAACATCCTCTCCCATCTATTTTGGGACCCGGATTTCTCTTCCTCCCACCCCAACTCCGTCCCAACTCCACCCCAACCACCGAAGCTCCGGGGGCTCCTTCTCTAAGATCCGCCGAAGCCCGAAGACGTGAGACTGACGCCGAGTTCCGCCGTGCCGAGACGCGCTGACGCGAAGGGATCCCGGGGCGGAGCTGGCGGCGAAGTCGGTCTTTCACTGCAGAATGCGTAGAACAGTGGATGTTTGTGGTTTGTGTTTTTCGAACGATTCATTCATATTCATATACAAGTATAATGCAATGAAATGCGATCATCATATATCAACCAACAAATGGATCCAAAAGGGAGTCACCTTTCAGAATGTACGTTGGAAACCGCCCCTAGTTGGAGACAATGTCCAGGCTTTGCTGTGGCCACATCCAGACTAGCATCCACAAGCTGTACAGCTAGTTACACTCGGAGAAAAAAGAAGTAAAACAATTCACCAACCAGCTCTTCACATGCAAAGAATCTTGCTTTGAGCTTTAAAAACAGGACACCAAATACCAAAAATTCACGCAAAAGCCGGGTAAAGCCTTCGCATGGCCGAAGCGCCTTGAGCTCATCGAGGTTGTTCTTCGGTCTTTTCGCTTGCCGCCTACGTTGAGCTGGTCTGGTAAGGCGAAAACTGCACTCAGGACATGGAAGTTCCTCCCCTTGTGGAATGGATGCAGTCGCCTTGAAAGAGTGTAATCCAAGAAATAAGACTGTGATTGAAGCCTTGCCTGTGCTGATTAATTATGTATATATATATACACAATTATATACATATTATAAAAAGAGATACTGTGCTATAGACTACATAGGTTGATTGAGTGCCTCCAACACCAAGAAGAATCCAACCGAACCTTTGTCTTTACCTCGATGCGAAAAGACCAAAAACCTACTTTTGAAGGGACTCCGGTGGTGAAACTTTTCAGCGATTTCGGGGGCCTAGTTTCCTTGTCATTCCAAAATGAAGGGAAGCAGCTTAGCAAACTTTAGCTGGAAACAATCTCTCCACGGTGCAATAGAAACAGCAACAGCATCATCAAGAAAATGCCAAGGTGTTACACATTATGCTGTCCACCCTGCACCAAGCTACTGAAAGGCAGCTATAATATGTCATCCTGAAAGCCCCAACACGCACTAAAAATGTATTCAAAAGGACTGAGAAGGACTTCCACACCTCACTGAACACCCTCTCTGCCAAGCGTGTTGGACCGGCCTGTTGGAGATCTTCTCATTCTCTAAGATCCTCATCTCCTCTGCACACAGGTTTCCTTGCACCCTTCTGATGCCCTTCTCATGCCCTTCTGATGCCCTTCTGGGCATTAAAAGGCCAATCACCTCACGTCCAACTGCCCCTCCGTGCACAAAAGCCCTACAAACCGATCATGGATCCAGATGGTCCCTTGATCAGCTCACGTCCCATTACACCGTTCCGCAGAACTCCACACCGGCCGGGCATCGGCGGCACATGGCCGCGCTTGGAGTCCAACCTCCGCCCGGTCCTTGGTGAGAACCCGACAATCTCGATCCAACCTCGGTTGGTCAACGGTGGACTCCACCGCGTCATCTGGAGACGAAATCGACGTTTTGACCGAATGAGGCAACTCTATGATGCCCTATTGTAGATGAACAAACAGCTTAGAACTCTCTTTGATGCTTTGCTTTCCTTGGCGCACATGTTCTCATCCAAAATTTCACGGTCGCAAGTGACTGAGTGGCACGGAGAAAACGTACTCAAGCTAAGCAGCTTATTCAATGCGTCCATCATTCCAGAGACTTGGAAGGACATCACATCATAAGCTGGCCTCGGCCCATCCGCGCGACAAGTCGCGACAAGCAAGCGCGATTGGCCAAACCAGCTGAAGAACGCGGATTCCCAGCAAGACTCGAACTTGCACACAGTCCTCGCGCTGAAAGTTGCAGAACATGCCTGGTGGTAGGAATATCAATGTCCCAAGTATCTATGCAGTCTATGTATCGGTTGCATTTTGGTGTAAGTTTTGCTCAAATTGCCGAACGAAATGGCTGGAGGGTCGCTTTGTCCGTACATCATATTGAAAAAGAATGAACCCTAAAAGTTAAGGCTAAATTTTATGATATTGATAAGGCATTCAGCAATGTCGGAATCTGGGCCAGGCCATCCAATTTCGGAGAAAAAAGAACGCGCAAGTTCCACTTGGGCTGTTCCTGTGGAGCAGGCAGCCCAGACCGATCTGAGATGCAGACTTGGTCTCCTTCAAGTGCGAGGCTAACCTCCAGCTACGCAAAGACGTGGTCTTCTTCCGGGCCATTTGGGAAAATCACCTATAGAGATATACCTTCCCAAAATTTCCCAAATGGATTGTGTCAGAAGCGCCAAAAAACTTTGATGTGAATGCACAAAGTGCTGAATATGCAATGACAATGCATTAGCATCATGAGCATCATTGTCTCCAGCATCGAAACTGGTACGCTGCGTTCTCCAACTCGCTCATAAAACGTTAGAATCTTTGTGATCTTTGTCATGCAATCATCCGGCTATAACGCACGCATGTATGCACGTAACACCCCTTTGCTGTCCAGGTGCATCTTCGTCACCCGGGAGAGGTGCTCGGTCTGCGACTTTTGGTCCGCGAAGTGCCGGGCGTTCGAAGACATCAGCTCGCTGTACCTGGAGGCGCGGTGGAGTCATTCGAAGAACAATCAGGGAGGTCTCTTGGGACAGCATCACTTAAGTTACATGGGCTGTCCCTTGAGTCAAAACCATCATGGTTGCCGGTTGCAAAACCATATTTGTGTGGTGGGTTTGCCTTTGGGCTGTTAGTTTTAGCAACTGGTCAGCCTCCACTTCCAGAAATTGAGCACCTTTTTGGATGACACGACATCTTATTGATTCTAATTTAGGGCACCTTGCACCGTGACGCGGCGCACGCCGACGTCTCCTCCGCCGTGGCGCCCACCACGTCTTCACCGATAGCCTCATCGTCGAAGTTGATGACTTCGACCTACAGCGGCGAGCGGCAGATGGTGCGAAAAACATCACTGGATCTGCCGGAACATGATATGTGTTTTACATAACTGCTGTAACTGCTGACCAATCAGGTCGGAAAGGTGTTTGGGGTGGTCTGGTTGCTTTATATTAGCAGCCTGGCCTTCATGTCCTAACAAGCCATCTATTTAGCCACACAGCTGTTTGAGCTGTGGGCCAGATTCACACATGCACACCCACGAACTGCACGGTGTTCTCCCCTGTTTCACCCTGTAAAGACCCATCCAAAGAAAAAGGAGAAGGGAAGATGGGATGCTGAGAGTTCCAGCCTGGGGTGAACTGATGGGATTTGAGTGATCTGACCGATATCATCCGATATCCATGGTGCGAACTGAGGTCCTTCCAGCCGCCCAGCACCATCAAGTGACTCACCGCTGTTCTCCGTTCGCTCTGAAAAAAAAGAACAGCCTTCGTGACGGAGATGGCGTCCGAGATCATGCTACCATCACCAGCAGAACCTGGGAGTCGGCCGAGTTGGTCCTTCGATATTCAAGACACACCAGCAAAATGCAGAACTGTTGGGATCACTTCGGGTACCGAGACTTCGGGTTCTTCAAGTCTTTCTTTTGGATCTCTTTTACACTTTTGGGGATCAAACATGGCTCTTGGCTGGGTCAGCTTTTTAGGGATCAACCTTGGTTTTCAAGGTGTCCAAAAGGTGTCAGCCGGGCGATCCAACATCTCCTTTTCGTCTTGGCCATCGCCCTTCAGTTGGCCTTTGTAAGCTTTTATGGAACATAGCGAAGGGGGTTCGGCTTTCTGGCCTCCCGATCAACCCTGTGCTCACCATAGAGACCTCCTCCTCGGGGTCCGCACGACCTGGTCGAGCGGAGAGCGGAGAGCGCGGTCGACCGCTCCGCTCGTGGTTGGGGCCCCCAACCGCTCCAGGCCGTAAAGCCAATAAAGCCACCCACCTGGCGACCGGTCGCCGTCGTGGTCGCGGTGGGAGGCGCCTCGGGAATCAGCAGTGGCACGAGTTGAAGTCGTTTTGGGGGGTGATATTTCGACTCCTCTTTCACCTGCTGTTTTTGGAATTCGTCCGCAAAGCTCTTGCTCCAAACCAGCCTTCCTCTTTCACGGACCTCTCGGCGATGTTCCCCCACCCCCCGCCATCCCCCTGCGGGTCTGTCCGCGGAGTCGCGGGGCGGCCTTCACCGGGAAGCCCGCGCGATCCACCGAGAAGCACTCGTGGGTCTGGCCATCCAAGGTGAGGAATGCCTTGGAAGCGCAGGAAGAATCAGAGCTGCTGGGCCTCTACTGGCAGAGCTGAGCTGTTTGGGGGAGTGAACAAAGACCGGATCCCATGTCGAATCAAGGAAGGTGGTATGATAGTTGGTGACATTCCCTGGAACTAACATGGAAGTGGATAGCATGGTCCCTTGGAAGATCATGAAATCCTCTACAAACAGGGGGTACCCTCCACTTCCATGTTAGTTCCAGGGAGTATCTGGTTGTGTGATGGATCATTTGCCTCTCAGGGCCCGTGGCCCGTCCACTCTCAAAAGTGCGTAGAGTTCACATTGGATGCCTTTGATTTGTACATGAAGCCAAGCCCTGCAAGACCTCAGAGTTGTACCAAGAAATGGATGCCATACACAGTTGTCTCCTCTTGCCACATACCACGCTGGATGAAGCAACGACAAGTAATTAGGTACAATTAGGTCTATATAGTCTATGTATGAAAGTTTGGATCGTTTGCACCAAAACATGCCAAAAGACCTGACCTTACACCTGACCTTCGTTTCTCTTTGCATCTATGACTCGATCTATGTTTGCAGGTCCGGCTCAGGCTCAGCTTCGCTAAGAGCTACCCACCGTCCTTCCGAACCAAACACCGACCCGGGTCGGCACCAAGGTCGGCACCTGCACCAAGGTTGGCTGCACTCGGAACTTGAACTCCACCTCTTTGTTTCGGAAGTCCAAGATCTGGCGATCCAAAGATCTGGAATGAAACCTTCGAAACGAGATAGTCATGACATGCGACATGTAAAAGGCTGTTCTTCACCCAAGAGAGCGAGCCAAAAAAGCAGCATTCCGCAAAAAGGTGACTGTACTATCCTTGCTTCGTGTGGTTGAATTTGTTTCAAGTCACTTGAGTCACTTGTATCATCTTTTACTGTGTATATCTTTTCGATGGATCCGATCTTGTTTGGTCACTGCGATCACTGCTCCGGTCCCGAAATGGAAACCACAAGCTCTGGAGCTCTTTCCGTTTTTGGCCAGGGCCGAAGAGCTTTAATAGGGAGTTCACGTACTGCTGAGCTAACAGCTATAACATCCATTCAAGTCAATGTCTGAAGCACAGTTGGTGGAGCAACTGGATGCCTCTTTGAGCAAGCTACATCCAACTGATCTGTCCATGCTGAGGGAACCAAAAGAGATGGGTTTTTCTCTACTTTTGGTGGGTGTTGGAGCCGACATGGTTGGCCAATATGAGATACAAAACGATCACGAAATCATGTCAAAAGGGGTGGACGACTCGTTGGCGTACGGGACTCTCGTCCTCAGTCTCCCATCTCAGATGTCACGCGCCGACAAAACCCCCAACTGCGTCACACGCCTTGGCGTTGCTGGTGGGAACGTCCACGAAGTAGCTGAGGCTCTGGTGATTGTCGTTACCTCAGCGGAAGGTCTTGGGGCCAGACAGTCAGGGTCCATGTGCGTTTTCGGGAGTGTAAGGCCCCCTTGACCGACGGCCTCTACAGGTTACTGGGACAAACCCCTGCCGCAGCAGATGTCTGGGCGGCGATGTTGCTGGGCCCCACGGTTCGGGCCGCCGGCGATGTCGCAGAGCAAGCGGAGAGCTTGGGAGGGGCGAAAGGGCAGGGCAAGTGGGGCGAAGGACTGAAGGTCTCCAGCTGACAAAACTGCATGTGCGTTCTGATGACTTTTCACCCGAACGGTCCAAGGGGGATAGTTCTGTTGCGTTGCAATCCATCCACAGGCCTGGCAAATCATACTTCAGCATCAACTGCAGGTGCGGCATGGGGGCAGCAAACATGTGGCACTTGAGAAGGTAAAGAGGAAGGCTTGAAGGCCTTCTCACATTGTTGCTCAAGGTCAAAGGTGGCTGTGGGTCAAAACCGGGGATGCTGGTTGACCACAGAAAATGAGCTGGTTGTGGCGTACCAGGAAGTCAACCCACCGGGTTTAGGGCTCTGGGTGCCCACAGCCAAGTAGGCATGCCTGCTGTTTGGCTTTCAGCGACCCTCAAAAAAGGCCTTGAGAGGTGGACTCCACCCCATTGGTAGCGCCTAGGAACCCCAGTGTGTATGGTCTACCGGGGAGCTTCACTTTCACCGACCAAAACCATCTGAAAGGGAAAGATCCGCTTCCCGTTCTACCAATCATCGAAGCCGCATCATCACAACTGCTACCATCCTCATGAGGTTCTGTTGATGGAAGAAAAGCAATGACACCACCCTTTCCACCACCTGGCATACATAAAACTCTGTCAGCACTGATAGATTATATAGATCCTTCTCTGGATGCTTTCCAGAATTCAACATGCTTCACAGCAGGCCTGACGGCTGATCAGCTCGGGGGTCATCATGGGTCATCGGTCGCCCTGAAACCAAGGTCCGTTGGGCAGGTCCGTTTGGGTCTCTTAGACCTTCGTGATGCGAGGGATGCCGTTCATCTCAAGCCCATGTCGAGCTGCAGAAAACTCTGGTTTCGGGGTCCAGAAACCGAGTCGTATCCAGAAACCGCATTCGGTATAGATACTCATGGACACCTCTGTCTGGACTCCACCCCCAAAACCATGTCTGTTATTGCAAGCTCATCACAAAATAGAAGATACTAAGATAAGCTACATGTTAAGTAGAGCACTCCTGAAGACAGGCAAGCGGCTCACAAAGGAAACAGCCGTGTTGGGCTTCTTCGCCACATCGGAGGTTGAGAAGACCTTGGATCCCGCTCTTTCGCTGGAGAACACCTCTGGTCCCAGCGAAGTGACCCCCAAGTGTTCATCACCTCTTTAAATGGATGTCATGAGTCTGAAACCGACCATATAAGATGTCATGCAAAACAATCGAATCGTACGTTGATCTATTTTGGGGGAATCTTTTTCGGACCTTTCTTTCGGAACCCTGGCGAAGCCGAGATCTCATCTTCCAGGAGGTTTCAGTGACATGGAGGAGGTGACCGTAGACGTGTGACCTGTCTGTGCAGCTGCGCTGAAGGCAGGTTGCTTCATCTCCTGACCTTCGATGAAGGAGATGTCTATGGATTTTCTCGATTCCATTCGATGAATAATCCCCTCACCGACGCAACGCTTTGGAAGCAAAGCGGTTTTTCTTTGAAGACTTCAGGAATACATGTTCTTTGAAACATGTTGAACCGACATTTGCCCGGAAGATGTCCACTGTGGCTGTAGATCATGTTAGTGGACCTTACAGGAACGTTCAGGTCCCAAGATCCACCTTCACCGCCTCGCCGTCCCCGTCGGGTCCAGGCGTTTTTCGATGCCAAGCTGCAGCTCCAATCCCTTCGAAGAGGGCCTGGTGGCGCGCGAGCCATTGGAGCGCCATCACATCGGGGATGGGGCAAAAAGTCGCGCGTGAAGCTCAGAGCGCAGCGACTGCATTGAAAGGTATCCCGAAAAATCGTGCAATTCAGGATCTGCACAATAGTTTCGCCCTGATGTTGAGCCTGGTGATCTTCCAGAAATCAATGCAGATCTTGGTGCAGGCTACTGCATGGGGCCCCCTATACACCCTTCTAGCGGGGCACAGATAACAGAAGGCATCAAAACCCCAAAAATAACACCAGTTCAAGCGTGGGTAGCAAGCCGTTGTCAGCCGCGCACGCCGCTCATGGAAGTGTAACCATATGATCGCTCAGCAGCAGCTGATATTCTTGACTTCCGAGTCCCGTCACCTTCATCCGTGATCGCCGAGTTTCTTACATGCTGGGTCTTAGAGTCTTGATACTTTCTCAATCTTTCTCATATGAGGTGCTGAAACAATTCTTCCATTCCCCATCGAATAATTCTTCTCTGATCAAAAAAGCAGCCTCATATCTGTCCAAAACCTGAGCCCCCGTGTCCGTTCGCGTCCCAACATGCCTTGGATCCGCTCAACATGTAGCCCTCTTCCTCTAGACCTTGCTTCCACGAAGCCGCCTGAGAGACGACGAAGCAAACCAGCGGGCGAGTTTGGTCAGATGCGCTGGAGCACACGCGTGCGTCATCCGAGATGAGGGAATTTAGCTGTGAGCTCTTTGTGGCTCCTGTCGAGAAAGTTGGAGGGGAATGAGACAACTCTATGATTGCAGGCATTGAAAAGTGGCACCCCGATTTCCTGCGCTGCTCATGATTCTTTGAGGATACATTTTGTGGTTGCAGTGGTTGCCTTTTTTTTGTGGTTTTCAGTCTGCTTCACTTCCAAGGATGTTGAACTCTGGCAAAAGGCAAAGTGTGTGATGCTAATGCTCTTGTGTAGGTAGCATTCTTGCTGGTCAATGTGCACAATGACAAGTCTCTTGTTCATTCTGTGTCCCATGCCAGCGAAGATCTACGGTTTGGAGCCATTTGGCAAGGCTCATCTTGAGCACGTCTTCTTGTGCCGCCAATGACAGTGCAAGGCGCAAGGAGCTTTCTCTTGCATGCATACTATAGTTTCAGCACCACAACCTCTATTGTTCGTAATAGTACGTCAAAACCTCTAGATATACCATCATGGGCATGTTACTCGCATGCCCTCTGCCTGCCCTGTTTCACCTGGGTCCGGGCATCCGCACGCGGATCATGCGCGTCTCGTTGAAGTCGCCGGAGATGTTCTGCCGGACGAACCAGAAGGCAAAGCTTTGGTCGCTCGGCGCCTGCGACCGCAGGTGGGGTGTGTTTGTCGGCGAAAGCCAACGTGGTGTGCGCTGGTCGGTTCTGCCAATGTGGTGTTCTTAGGATTCCTGAGCCACCATTGATTTAGTAGCCTTTGTTTTTCGAATGATTTTACACTACAAAACCAGGTCAACCTGATCTTTAATGGTCTTGTTCTGGGCTTTCCTTGCCACAAGCGTTTCCCTTTCTCCTTTCCAAATTCCCACTTTCCTATGTGAGTGGAGGAATGGCAGCCAGATCAGCTTCGACAGATTGAATCATATACAGTATTATCACAATTATATAAATATGATGTAACCGAACCCAAAGCTGCCCACAAACATGCTGACCCCCCCGTCAACCTCTCCACCCTCCCCAACCTCCATCCACCTTCCTCGCGGCAGAACCGAGGCTTGAAAAGACCACCGAGCCGAGCGACGAGGACGGCGAGGTCCCCGGCGACTCGCCGGACGGGACTCGGCCTGCGAGACGTCCTTGGCGCCGTTGGCCACGAAGGTGGCGGTGAGCTGCGCCGGAAGAGGCGGCGTTGGCGCGGCGCGACGTCTTCCGTGGAGCGAAGCGAGGGAAGGAGCCGGGCGGTTGAGGCAGGTTACTTTGAGGCGGTGAGGTGGGTGAGCTTGCATTTCGTGTTATTGGTGCGGCTTCAGACTTCTCAAGTTCTGACGGACGATGGCCCAGAGTTCGGGGTGGCATGGACCGTCCAAACTGGATGGCAAAACACCAGTTCACAAGTTCAGGGGTCGCCCAATTTGAGGGTTGGCCCACACCCACAACAATGCGAATGTTGGCATGGTCAACTGTGAACCCCGGAGGAGGGCTTTCCTGTGACGCAAAGCATAGGCCCAACAAATCTCGAGGCAGGGTGAGTCGTCCCTTCTTCTACTGCAGTCCGCCCTGTACTGAAACTGGCTGCCTTGAACCATAGCCTACAATTACGTGCTACTGCTACATGCATGGGCAAGTGCCTCCTCTGCATTGCACAGTGCCTCCTACGTGGTACAGCACCTCGTCACCTCCACCTCTGGTCCGAAGAAACATGTTTCGCCGTCACATCGCCGTCACATCAGCCTGAAAGTCATTGGTCTGCAGGGGCCGCTTGTTCCAAGCAAACCCTTGGCCTCAACGGTGTTTTTTTCTTCCGTGCGAGCGGGAAGTGGGGACCACCGTACCGGTCCAAGCCATGCGCCCATGGTGCAAACAATGGGTCCAAGAGAATAGGCGGATAGCAGTGCTTTGATGTGCTTTGTGCTTGGCTTGTGTGCGTGTTCACCTTACGCCACGAGAGGTAGGCTGAAAGTGGCAATGCTCGGTGGTATAGATGGGCACCAAAAACTCAGTCTTTTAGAGCTTGAAAAATTCGCTTGTTCGGTCAAGTACCTCCAAATCCTCCTGCGTGTTCCACTGGTTTTGGACCTCCTCAGCAACTCTTCATGAAATGTTCTGCACGTAAGAATAATTTATGTACTGTATAAGAATAAATCTGTCCATTGAGAGGTTTCATCGCATGGGAAAGGCAGTGACTAGATTGGTAGTTGAAGACACACCCAACCTCTAATTCCAAATCTCCAATATCTGTATCAGAGTTCATCTCAAAACCACTCGAAGAACTGAATCCAGCTATACCGCACCCGGTCACTTCTGCCCAGCAGCGTTCGTTCACATGGGGATGTAGCAGCAAGCGCTCCCTGCGGGGGACCGGTCGCGCGCACGGGGGTTCCGATGTCGGAACCGACATCCAGACCAGCTGGACGTCCAGACCAGCTGAACTGTTTCTTTTTTTGGTGGTCTGAAAGGAGCGTCTCGGGTTTTTCCACTGCTTTCAGGTGGGAGTCCTAACTGAATTCAACTGAGCAATTTCTTGATCAATGTTTGGTGTGTATTCTTTGGAAAGCGAAGCCGACCTTTCAATCCACCCGGTGCTCAGACCGTGAGGAACCCGAACTTCCGTGACTTGACCGAACGAAACCCCTGGAGGCTCAGCATATGCACCACTGCCAGGGGGTAAAAGTGAAACCGGACTCTCCAAGAACTCTGCTCCAATTCCAAGAGCTGCCAGCGGGTCAACCAAGGAGTCGCCACCGCCACCGCGCGGTTTTCAAACCGCGCCTCAAAAAGATGCTCGACCCACTCAGCATCCAGTCACCCAGCAGGTTGCTGAACTCGAGCCTGGGCACGCAAGCAGGCACGAGTTCGAAGGGGTGTGCTTGTTCCGAACATACATCATGTTGAAGAGATACATCATGTTTAACTTATAAGGGAGCAACATCAATTTGACTCGGATACATCATTTGGATGTGCGGTTCAAATCCGGGATACCCCCCTATTTGCACCTCTGGGAAGAAGGAAACGACACCAAGACCGGTCTCCCGATTCTGATACACACCATGTATCACCATATGCAATCGGCCTTAGATCGTTGACCTACCCTGGTTTTGTAACACGGCCGATACAAAAAGCAAGCAAACAGCCGCTGAATAGACATGAATAGACATCTGTTGGCCGCATGGCACAAGAGAAAGAACATGAAAGAACACATCATGCGGCAAACAGATGGAGCATTTGAAGCAGATGTGGTGTATTTGCCGCATCTGCTTTTTCACATATGAAGGAATGATGGTACACTTTCGATGGATCACGATGGCAATTCCACCTGGGAGCCCCTGCGGAGCGGAGAAGGAATGATGTGGCAATTCCACCTGCGTGAAAACACGCGAAGCCGAGAACCTCGAGTGACGCATCCTCGCGGACACACAGTGGACTCGCTGCCGGTCTCGCGGCAGGGTCGCCCAGCAGGGTTAAAAACGGAGGTGGTTGGGCACCTGAACATGACCCTTCTGTCGAAGCGGGTACACTCCAGTGTACCTTAATGGAAGTGGATGGCAATGGCCCTGCTGGATGAAAATTTGTTCTGCCAGTCTGCAAAACAAAGGGTTTTCCGCTTGTAGATGAATAGTTCATGTAGATGAGTGGAGACCCACCCCGGCAGCTGCTCGGCCCAAGAGGAACATCATGCATTTCGCACAGCAGAAGTTCCAATTGTTGGTCGCAGCTTGGGATGTTGGTCGCTTGGTTTTCGCATCCTGGTTCCAAGTGTCCAAAATGCATATCAAAGCCATGGGACTGCCATATATGCCGATCAGTTGGGGTGGTTTGAGGGGTCAATGGGGCGGCATATATGGCACACATAGATACACATAGTGTTTGGGAAGTGCATATGATACCCATGATACCAAGTTTCCAAGACTCCGACCTTGGTCACGGCCTCCTTCCATCACGCTCTCCGACCGTGCAGATGCGATGCGCAACAGAGATGGCCTTCTGAAACTCTGCATTCCCATGCTTTCCAGCAGCATCCACTCTGAGAAGCAGGAGGCAAACCTGCTCGTTGCGGCTTGCACCCGGTTCCGAACGCACTGAAGGACTAACAGACGAAGCTCCTCGAATATCTCATGTGTGCTTAAGAATGCCTCGACATCCTCAGTAGAAGTGACTCCGTTCCCCCCAACCAGCTGTTGATCCTCATCTTCTCTTGCTCCGCATGGCTGTCAAAACAATCACGATTCCAATTGATTGCCGGCATGAATCTTGTTCCACTTCAGGATGGTTATAACCTCGTCCTCGAATAATTGGAAAGAAAAACCAGAATTGTCTCAGCATGTCATGTCCCAGCTGTTTCTTCGTGAAGTCACATACAGTAACTATTCTATCGACTTGTGGGTGATGATTATTTATAGGTCATTCACTATAGATCATTCCCTTGTGGGCTATTTATAGATCATTCGTTTTCACTATAGACATTCTAAGAAGCGAAAACCAAAGGCCTGCGCCACGACCCACCAAAAGGCGGCCTGCGCCCATCGAGCCACCGGGACCCGGCACCGCGCCATAGCAGCGGGAACGGCGCAGGACGGTCGAGGCCGTGGGACGGGGCACCGGACCTGTTGTGTTGGCGTTGGCGTTCTGTGACGGACGTGCAACATGTTGGTTGTGAGTCTGAGGAAGGGAACCCTTTTTGGGGGGGATGACTGAAGAGATGGGACTCCTGTTGGTTCTTTGAGATACTCTATCTCGATTCACGTCCTGTTGTCCCATATGCGAATTTGGAATCGGGCCGTCTCAGGCTGGAACTAGATATATAGCCGCCTTCCACAGCTAAAAAAAGGAACCAACATGGACCTGGGAGCGATGGACTTGTTCTTTTCACAAACATCCGAAACGGTGGATTTCATGGCATCTGTCTCATCCGGTTCGAGAATCTCATCATCGAGGAAGGTGACGCTGACACGGTGTCCTTTTGCTCCTTGTGATAGCTTTGACCCAAAAAGCTCTCAAAGCCAGTCTAAACAGCAAATCTCAAATTTGTTCAGTCCAAAAAGCCGATGAAAGAAAGTACCTGTCACTGACTGTCACCTATCGGCATCGGGTAGCGTCAAGAGGACACATCCTATCCCAATTCGACGCCACCGCTCTTTACAAACAGCTGCCAATGTTGTCATCAAAACTATAAACGTGAACCTCTGCTGCAAGACTCCGTGGGAATCCATTTACAGCAACGTAACAGAGCCACGTTCGTTTCAATCTCCCCCATGTTTCTGAACAATATGTGTTTAGCAAATTGTCTCAAATTGTCATGGGAAGGATTTAAACTTTGCTCTCATTTTCATTCATGTTCAGCATTATCAGATGCCTTCCGACTGTCTTCCCTTTTAGAGAACCCCCGTCCACAACTCCCGTCCCACCGGTCCCGCCAGTGAACCGCTTTTCTCTCGCAGAAAACCGTCGTTGCCTCGAGGCACGGACATGAACCGTGGTTGCTGGGAGACCGGAGCTGTTTTATTTCAAGAGGAGGGTAGCAACAAGGGCATTACTACTAGTAGCAAGAAGCTACTAGTAGCAGGGCACAAAAATGAAAGTAGCTCTTCTTCTCTTCGAGGGATCAAAATTGACTCCTTGACCTTGGATGTGAGGTTTGAAAGGTGAGTGCCCATTTTTTCATAGGTGTTGTTTTCCTGTTCCCAGGTAAATCGGTCCTTCACCCTGTCTGAACTTACAATTTTCAAAAAATTGTGTCCTCCCTCAAAGATTGGAAGATCAAGGCAATCAACGATTCCGCATCAACTGTCGACCATTTGCAATCAAGTTATAGCCGCAGCCGTTCCATTCATGCCCCTTTCCAACCTGGAAGAGAACTTTACAAACATTTGACCCAAAATGCCATCTTCAGAAGCAACAGTTCTAGTCTATAGTGACTATAGTATCATGGTTCCTCATATCAACTCGACACAAACACTGACAAGCCTCAGGGACCCTGAGGCCTCCACATTAGCCAGTAAGAATCTGGTGCTTTCCAGCATTGCGGAAGATCTGAGCTCATCCACGTCGAGCGAGACGACGGGCACACGGGACTGGGGGACGGGGTTGGAACGTATCACTAGTGGCTTCAAAAGGGGTGTCTCTCTTGTCTTGTTCGGGGAACCGAACAGGGTGCCCGAAAAGGAGTGGATTCACCACCCAGAAATCCAGTGCCTGCAATGCCTGGGAGATACAATCCCTGAAAATGGTGAGAAGGGTCCAGTTCCATTGCATGCCAGGTTGTGAGCTTCGAGCTTCCATATGGTTCCATCTCTGTTCTCTTCTAGGCATGCAGGCCGTCTTCGACCCCAGGCCGTCCCCGTTCGAACGGGTTCAAGTGGATGCGGCCAAGCTTTTTCCCAACGGCCGAGCAACGACTTGAGACCTCAACATGGATTCCACCGGTCCACGGAATTGAGCAACATGAATGAAGGGCCAACGGGGGGGGTTTGCCCCGGCGTCAACATCTATCAGTTCACAAGGTTTTCTGACCCTCTGTATGTTGCAGTCGGGGCAAACCCCCCCTTTACCCAACATGAAGAAACGGAATTGATCTTCATGCATCCCGGGGTCCGGTCTCTTCTTGTGGAGCCCGGCGGTATCCAGGGCCACGAGGATGCTGCCAGAGGTCTTCGTCACCATTTTGGAACGGACCTCGGCGCGAGGGGACCAACCGGGGCCACGCGACGCACGGAGCATGGGGGCCACGTCTTGCCCCAAAGGTGTTTGGCGTCGATGGCGTCCATGTGCGCGGCTTTCCGAAGGCGGTGAAATAGTTGTGGGATGTTGGAGGGATCCAAGGAAAAAGCTATATAAGTAGAGGCAGTAGAGGTTCCAACTCTGTTTCCAGTAACAAGGAGGGACTCTGCAGGGTTTTTTTCCAGAAGCCCTCTAACGGCCAAATCGACTGAGGAAATGATCTACAGTAAGCGGCACCAAGCTCCTGCAGACGGCAAAATCCATCAACCCACAGCCAGCCTTCTAAGCTGTTTGATCTGATAGGTCAGCAGATGGTGTGATGTGTCCGACATCTGCTGCTGCTCATGTTGCACATCCGCAGATGTTTTCCCTTCATGATGTTACTTGGAAAGAAGTGTGGGTGGACACCTGTAAAAGCTTCATACTTCTGGCGTGTGAGGCCTATGATCACAGTGGCATGGACCACCGAAAAACCGATGCAGTCGGTCCCACTAAGGAGTCGAGTCCGTCTATCTTGCTTTTGAACTATTTTGAACCAGGAGCTTTCAACTTGCAAAAGTTCGCCTTCAATTCTGGGAGGTGTTCTTAGTCTGTTGTCTGCTACCTGGCCTGGCGAACTCTGCCGGCATGTTTCGCGAACTCGGCCGGCGAAACATATAATGATAGTACTACAAAGCAGTGTTGAAACATCCATCCACTCTCTATGAAAACCACCACCCCAAACCTTCAAACAAAAAATAGAAAAACACTTCACCAAATGCCACAGATCCGGTGGGAATTCAACCGCATCGCCATGGAGCACCGCTTGACCCGCCCGTGTCGCGCGCGAACCGCACCTCGCCATGGAGCACCTCAGCCCGCGAGGCTGGCAGGGCGCCATCCGCGCCGGAGGTGCTGGAGACCGTACGGGCCTGGAGGTGCGAGCCGAATTCGGCCGGCCGAAGACCTCGGTCCGAAGACCTCGGATGGGCATCATGGGCAGAAGGTATTCGGTCCGAAGGCGAGTACCCCACATGGAGGTCAAAGACGTCGAAAAATGGTTGATCTGGTTTTGAAATGATCCGAGAGATCCCCCCAAATAGATAAATCGTTGCGAAAACTAAGATGATGTATATATTTATTTATATTTACACTAAGTGCAAACCAGATGGTGCAACAAAACGTCAAAAAATCAGGAGCGGTAGGCATGGTACACAGCCCCAAGGACAAAAAGTGACTTGGCACAGGGGTATGGTCCAAAGATAGGGCAGTGCCATTTTTTTTGTGTTGAAATTGGCTGGTGTTTTGCTCTTATCCTAGGAACGGTGCCATCTACTAGCGTGAGGACACAATATGGAACAAAGAGAAAAGAGAGATACAGAGAGAGAGAGAGAGGGAGAGAGAGGGAGGGGAAGCAACCAAAAAAAGAAGACAGGCAACTGCAAACAGCAGAGAAAAGAGAAAGAAAAAAGATAGAAAAGAGAGAAGGAAGAGAGAAGAGGGGAGAGAATCAAGGAAGAAGAGAAGGGAAGAGGAGAGAAGGGGAGGGAAGGAACAAGACATGGGCAGCAGAAAAAGAAGGACTACCACTCTGTGTACAGTAGATTGCGCAAAGTGGAGGTCAGAGGTAGGGGGAAGGAAAACAGGAGAGGGGAGAGCAGGTATAGAGAAAAGGGGGAGGGGGACAGGACTGACAGCTGCAGAGTAGATGGCGCAGCCTGATGACCAGCCA